TGGGCCGACCAGGTACATTGTGGCTTCTCCTGTGTGACGCTCCACCCCACCTTGGCCCTCAACCACTTCCCATCCACCTTTCTCTGCATCCTATGTATTCCCCTTTCTCCTCAATGCAATCAACCTCTGATTCCCAGCACCGTGCCTCCCGCGCCGGCGCCGCGCCGTGCCCTCCCCGTGCCGTGCCTGCCATGCCATGTGTCCCCTGGGCAGGTGGCGCTGGTGTTCGCCAACACGTCACCGGCGGACATCCTTCTCGCCGATCAGCTGCGCGCCCTCGCTGCCTCGCACCCCAACTTCAAGGCATGCCGCCCCCACTCCCCACCCCCCGCTACTCCCCACCCCCGCTACTCCCCACCCCCACTACTCCCCCACCCCCGCTACTCCCCACCCCCGCTACTCCCCACCCCCGGCTACTCCCACCCCCGTTACTCCCCACCCCCGCTACTCCCCACCCCCGCTACTCCCCACCCCAGCTACTCCCCACCCCCCCCCCGCTTACTACCCACCCCCGCTACTACCCACCCCCGCTTACTCCCCACCCCCGCTACTCCCACCCCCGCTACTCCCCACCCCCGCTATCCCCACCCCCCGCTACTCCCCACCCCCGCTACTCCCCACCCCCGCTACTCCCCACCCCCACTTACTCCCCACCCCCGCTACTCCCCACCCCCGCTACTCCCCACCCCCGTTACTCCCCACCCCCGCTACTCCCCACCCCAGCTACTCCCCACCCCCGGCTACTCCCCACCCCCGCTACTACCCACCCCCGCTACTCCCCACCCCCGCTACTCCCCACCCCCGCTACTCCCCACCCCCGCTACTCCCCACCCCCGCTACTCCCCACCCCCGCTACTCCCCACCCCGCTATCCCCACCCCCGCTACTCCCAACCCCCGCTACTCCCCACCCCCCGCTTACTCCCCACCCCCGCTACTCCCCACCCCCGCTACTCCCCTACCCCCCGCTACTCCCCCACCCCCCGCTACCTCCCCCCACCCCGCTACTACCCACCCCCGCTACTCCCCACCCCCGCTACTCCCCACCCCCGCTACTCCCCACCCCCGCCTACTCCCCACCCCCGCTACTCCCACCCCGCTACTCCCCACCCCCGCTACTCCCCACCCCCGCTACTCCCCACCCCCGCTACTCCCCACCCCCGCTACTCCCCACCCCCGCTACTCCCCACCCCGCTACTCCCCACCCCCGCTACTCCCCACCCCCGCTACTCCCCACCCCCGCTCCCCACCCCCGCTACTCCCCACCCCCGCTACTCCCCACCCCCGCTACTCCCCACCCCCGCTACTCCCCACCCCCGCTACTCCCCACCCCCGCTACTCCCCACCCCCGCTACTCCCCACCCCCGCTACTCCCCACCCCCGCTACTCCCCACCCCCGCTACTCCCCACCCCCGCTACTCCCCACCCCCGCTACTCCCCACCCCCGCTACTCCCCACCCCCGCTACTCCCCACCCCCGCTACTCCCCACCCCCGCTACTCCCCACCCCCGCTACTCCCCACCCCCGCTACTCCCAACCCCCGCTACTCCCCACCCCCGCTACTCCCCACCCCCGCTACTCCCCACCCCCGCTACTCCCCACCCCCGCTACTCCCCACCCCGCTACTCCCAAACCCCGCTACTCCCCCAACACCCCGCTACTCCCACCCCCCGGCTACGCCCCACCCACGCTACTCCCCACCCCCCCCCCGTACTCCCCAACCCCCCCGCTTATCCCACCCCCGGTACTCCCCACCCCCCGCTCCCACCCACCGCTATCCCCACCCCGCTACTCCCCACCCCCGCTACTCCCCCCCCCCCCCCCCCCCCCCCCCCCCCCCCCCCCCCCCCCCCACCCCCGCTACTCCCCACCCCCGCTACTCCCCACCCCCCGCTACTCCCCACCCCCGCTACTCCCCACCCCCGCTACTCCCCACCCCCGCTACTCCCCACCCCGCTACTCCCCACCCCGCTACTCCCCACCCCCGCTACTCCCCACCCCAGATATCCCCACCCCTCTACGCCCCACCCCGCTACTACCCACCCCCGCTACCCCCACCCCCGCTACTCCCCACCCCCGATTACTCCACACCCCCGACTACTCCCCACCCCCGCTACTCCCCACCCCGCTAACTCCACCCCGCTACTCCCACCCACGCTCATCCCACCCCGCGACTTACCAACCCCCGCTACTCCCCACCCCCGCTACTCCCACCCCAGCTACTCCCCACCCCCGCTACTCCCCACCCCCGCTACTCCCCACCCCAGCTACTCCCCACCCCCGCTACTCCCCACCCCCGCTACTCCCCACCCCCGCTACTCCCCACCCCCGCTACTCCCCACCCCTGCTACTCCCCACCCCCGCTACTACCCACCCCCGCTACTCCCCACCCCCGCTACTCCTCGCCCGCACGTCGCTCTATGCTCACTCACTCCACCCATCTTCCCCTCCTCCCTCACTCACTCGCATGCTCTCTCTCTCTCTCTTCTTCGCACACCCTCCTCCCTCTCCCCTCGTCACCCCTCATCACCATCTCGCAATGCTGTGCTGCGCCTCCACCCATGCTGTGCTGCGCCTCCACCCATGCTGTGCTGCGCCTCCACCCATGCACACCACATCGCACTCCACACGCCTCCCACGTTGTCCCCGCATTCCTCCACATCCGCCACACCCCGCCACGCGGAGCAGGTGTACTTGATGGTGGACCGCGCGGAGGCGGGGGCGGCATGGAAGGGCGGGGAGGGGTTCATCACGGCGGACGTGCTGCGCAAGGCGCTGCCACCACCATCCCCCGACTCCCTCGTGCTCGTGAGGGCCCTGCTGCATGCCATGGCGTGGCGTGGCGTGGCATAGCGATGGATAAGATGACATGGCATAGCATGGCTTTGAATCTCATCATTCACATTGAATAACATCATATTAAATTACATCACACATCACATCACATGGCATCATATCATATCACATGGCATCACATCACATCACATGTCATCATATCATATCACTGGCAGCACATCACCTTGTCCCCCCTGGGTGGCTGGGTTCGCAGCATGGCCTCTGTGGCCCCTGGCTGCCCTGCCTCTCACTCACCCCGTGTGGCTGCACCTCACTCACCCCGTGTGTGCAGGTGTGTGGGCCGCCCGGCATGATGCGCCACGTGTCAGGCGACAAGGCACCCGACAAGTCGCAGGGGGAGGTGAGTGGCAGGGGGAGGTGAGTGGCAGGGTGAGTGGCAGGGGAGGTGAGTGGCAGGGGGAGGTGAGTGGCAGGGGGAGGTGAGTGGCAGGGGGAGGTGAGTGGCAGGGGGAGGTGAGTGGCAGGGGTGAGTGGCAGGGGTGAGTGGCAGGGGGAGGTGAGTGGCAGGGGGAGGTGAGTGGGGGACAGGCAGGGGGGCAGCTGACACAGAAACTGTTACTCATGAGGGTGCCCCCAGAGCAGTGCAATGCTGTGGTACAGTAGTCCCCCACATATAGGCGCACATCCGTTAACTGGTTGTTTAGCGCATGCGCTTATGCTTTGACTAATGAGCAAGTTCACCCCTTTTCAAACTCACGATTTTATTCAAAAAAACTTTGATGCACAGGTAATTCGCATTCGATACCTTACGTTCTATACCTTTCTTGTCCGTAGTGCATGTGATGTGAATGCTCGGTAAGTGCGGCTTCTTGACTGGATAAGGGGAGCAATCTGATTTTTCTCTTCTCCGCGTTTGCTCCCAATATCCCTCTCCCAATGCAGCTGGATGGCCTCTTGAAAACTCTCGGCTACACCAAGGACCAAGTTTACAAATTCTGAACCGTACCAGCGTATTTTGAATGTAACAACAGTCATGGTTGAAGGACGAGAAATAGCTACTGCATCTAGCAGGCTCAGATGATGTTGTGCCATGCGTTGTAACTATACAACAAACTGCAACCACCCCCCCACTGTATGGAGGACATTCACCAAGTACCGCATTTCAGGGCCCTCTTTTGAAAGGCTGAAGGAAACATTCCTGTGGGGACACAAGTGTCTCAATCACTTTGTGACACCCAAAAACTGTCAGATTCAACTGTGCAAGAATGAATGAACTATGAATGAGTTGGGTACAAGTACTAACCAAGTGTTCCTATCCTCGTATCAAGAGAACCTCATATCAACCTCCCACTGAAAATTCCCCTAAACCCAAAACCTCTCGCTAGTTTTACCAGGCAAAAAGTACAATCTTGATATGAGGTTCTCTTGATATGAGGATAGGAATACGCTCTTATATCCCTTGTAGGCTAACCCACTATAGCTTAGAGAGAACACAAACATCCTGACACACCCCCATAGGCTAAGTGGGAGAGAGCAAACACAACAGATGGTCACAAGACTAGTCAAGCAAGAGAACAAGCAAACAAAGCTCACAGTGGATCTCAACGATACCACACAATATGAGCACAAGCAAGCAGCCACAAGGCCAGTTCACATGCAGAGTTATAATAGCAAGGCAGTACACTGATCACAGCCTAGCAAGAGTAAACAAGCTGGTATAAAGATATATATCAGTGTACAACAAGAGCAAGTCAAGCAACCAGCAAGTGAGGCAGAGTGGGCACAAGCCCAAGAGCAGTGCAAAAACGCTGATGATCACCAGACCCAAGGGCCTTGGGGAACACATCAGCAGTGTTGGCCTGCGAGGCCACGTAGAAAAGGCGGAGCTGATGACGCTGCTGTAGCTCACGTGCAAGGAAGTAGCGAAGAGCAATATGCTTCGTTCTGTGCTCCAGTCTCTACTCGCGACACAAGGCAAGCATTGATTGTTGTCGACGTACAGTACTGGAGGAGGAACGAGGTTGTTCCCCTAGGTCAGTCAGCAGGTAGGTCAGCCAGCGTAGCTCCTGTGCAGCCATGGCCCCAGCGTAGATCTCGGCCTCACAGCTGGAACCAAGCACAGAAGAAGAACGAGTGGACCTCCACGAGACAGAACCAGAGCCAAGACTGAAGGTGTAACCCTGTGACGAACGCTGGGTCGCCTGGTCGTCGGCCCAAGAAGCGTCGGAGTGTCCTGTAAATACCACTAAACCAAGTCCTCCAAGAACGAGCCCCATGCCCAATGTACTGCACAAGTAATGCTGTACCCTCTTCGCAGCATCCCAGTGCACCTTTCGGTGTCTACCGGGAGCCACGTAGCGAGCCAGGAGGCTGAGAGGGTACGCGAGGTCAGGTCGTGTGCACGTCATCAGGTATATGAGGCAACCTACAAGCTTTGGGTACGGACCACTCGGCTCTACGGACTCGTCCGAAGGTGGAGCTGAGAGCGAGTGGCCGGTAGACAGAGGAGTGGGCTGTGGCGAGGAGAACTGGAAGCCGAAGCGCTGAAACACCTGGTGCACCATGTGTGACTAAGTCAGGGTGATGGTGCGCCGTGCTCTGTCCCATGTGATCTGTAAGCCAAGATAGCTCAGCAACTCGCCCAGGTCAGTGCACGTGTGTCTCTCCTGCAGCTCCGCCTCACTAGGGCCAACGCCTCCGAATCAGCAGTAGCAAAAACCAAGTCGTCAACGTAGACGAGAACGTAGAACGGCGGTAGGGTAGTGTCAGTGCGTAGAAACAGCGACGGGTCAATAGAGGAAGGAGCCAACCCAAGAGCCGCAAGTGTCGTCCTCAGCGTGTCGTGCCACTCGTGAGGCGCCTGGCGGAGACCGTAGACTGGCCGCCGGAGGCTCCACTGAGTACCCGTAGGAAACGACCCAGTGAAGCCAGGTGGGCGGCGCAGCCAGATCTCCTCGTAAAGGCTGCCCTGCATTAAAGTTGTGGAGAAGTCGAGAGAGTGCAGCTTGTAGCCACGCTGTGCAGCAACATGCAGCAACACCCGAAGAGTAGTCATCTTCAGGGTGGGGGAGAAGGTCAGGAAGAAGTCGACCCCCTGTCGCTGGCTGAAGCCTCGAGCAACGTAACGCGCCTTGAAGGTAGGCAGAGAACCCGGCGGCCGATTCACTCCGAAGATTCACATGCCATCGACTATGTTCGCCCCAGGAGGAGGAACCTTGTGCCTGTGGACTACCAGGAAGCCATCTCTGCGTCCATGGCTGTCTGCCACTGAGAGGAGTACTCACCCGCGATCGCCTCATCGTAAGAGCGCAGTGTAGGGATGTCAAGCGCATCCGGGTCTCCCTCAGCGCAAAGCAACATGGATGCGAAACGAGGTAAAGAGGCCGCAAGACACTCAAGCTCAAACTGCCTGTCCTCAAGGACGTCACTGCTAAGGGCAGGCTCACCCTCGACGGACGAAGGAAAGACAGACTCAGACTCAGTAACAAGACTCGCGACGTAGTCGAGACGACTCATAGCTGCAAAGTCGACTAGCTCAATGACTCGGGCAAACGCAGCAGTAGACTCAAATTCAGGGTCAGTAACGACAGTAGCGAGGAGACGAGTGACAGTAGGAATGGCAGCACGAGCAAGGTTGGACTCAGGGTCAGGAACGTGCGGAAGAGAGGAGGCGGGAGGCTCAGGCAGGACAAAACGCTGTGGAACAGAGGAAGGACGAAGTGCCATACTGTGAGTGCCTGGGACAGCAGGAGGACGAGGACGGGCGACACGACGAGCACGAACAGGTGTGGAAGCACGAGTCTCAGGCTCATGACGCTCCGTCAGGGACTCAGTCACCTCAGTGTGAGGACGAGGAGCAGGCAGCGGGGAGTCAGGCATTAGCTGTGGCTGAGACTGGTCTGTCGGTGGACAGAGGAGAGGTGGAGTGAGGTCAGTGGAAGACGGGAGACTAAGAACCTGGCGAAGGACCGAGTCAGGCGGCGGCAGGGACGACTGCGGCTGCTGGTAGAAAAGCGGTCGGCGCGGGGCAGTACCAGCAGCTCCATCTCCTCCAGCACCAGCAGCACCAGCACCTCCAGCACCAGCAGCTCCAGTAGCACCTCTAGCACCAGCAGCACTACGAGCTCTAGCAGCGCCAACACCTCTAGCACCAGCAGTACCTCCAGCACCTCCAGTGCCAGCAGCCAGCAGCACCTCCAGCACTAGCAACACCACCAGCTCCGGCAGCTCCAACACCTCTAGTACGAGCACCTCCAGGACTAGCAGCTCCAGTACCTCCAGTACCTCCAGCTCCAGCGCCTCCAGCACCGGCAGCACCAGCACCTCCAGTGCCAGCAGCTCCAGCACCTCCAACACTAGCTGGACCTCCAGGACTAGCAGCTCCAGTACCTCCAGCACCAGTAGTACCTCCAGGACTAGTAGTTCTGGCACCTCCAGCACGAACAGCACCTCCAGGACTAGCAGCTCTAGTCCCTCCAGCACCAGCAGCACCTCTAGTACCTCCAGCACCAGCAGCACCTCCAGCACCTCCAGTAGTACATCCAGTACTAGTAGCTCCAGCACCAGCAGGACCGTACCCTCCACCACTAGGACTGCCTCGCCGAACGATCCACGCACGAATCGCCTGCGGCGAGAGCGTCTTAAGTAGATCAGGCTGCGGTAGCTGTCCACCTCCAAGACCTCCAGTAGGGTACCCACAGCTCCACCGCCACTAGGACTCGCAGCACACCCAGAGTCAGCACCCCCAATCGCAGCACCCCCAGAACCAGCACCCCCAGTCGCAGCACCCCCAGTCGCAGCACCCCCAGTCGCAGCACCCCCAGAACCAGCACCCCCAGTCGCAGCGCAAACCCCCACCCGCTGTCTCAGCACCCCCAGGCTCAGCACCAACAGTCTCAGCTCCAGAGTCCACAGCACCAGGCTGCGGAGGCGGCGAAGACGGCCGAGGCGGAAAACCAGGGGGGGTCTCCAAGCGTGGAGAGCGACGAGTGGCCGCCGTGTCGTCAACGGCGGGGTCACCCCCCTCAGCTAGGCCAGAGGAGTCCAAAGAGATCTTTAAAGGCTCAACTAAGGGGGGTGGGTCTACCTGAGACACACCTGAGGGAGCAGGGCCCTGTGGGGGGAGGGGGTCTACCGTGGGGGGGGGGACTGGTTCCAGGAAGAGAGGCGCTAGGGGGACCGGGTGGGACACGTGCGGGTGTAGTCTGTAGAAACAGACAGACTCGTCAAAGGTGACGTCCTGGAAGGAGAAGACTCGACGCTCGCGCGGGTGGTGGTAGAACTGCCACGGCGGGGTGTAGGTGGGGAAGCCAAGGAAGACGCAGCGGAGAGTGCGAGAGGAGAGCTTGCTAGCTTTGGCATCGTGAACAAGGGAGAGCGCGCCCCAGGCCCGAAACACCGACACATCGCCAACCTTCCCCGTCCACTGGAGTGTGGGCGAGGTCTCTGGCTCAGAGACGCGGGGCCAGAGGTTGAGCTGATGCGCAGCGTATCGGACCGCAAACGACCACAAAAATGGGGAGCAGCTGCATGGATCATGGAGGTACGAGCAACCTCCAAGATCAAGCCAATGCGACGCTCAGCAATCCCATTCTGCTGAGGAGAGGCCGAAAGCGTGAACGTCTGGCGGATGCCTCCGTCTCGATAGAACTCTTCAAGGAGGCCAGAAGAGAATTCACCGCCCCTGTCAGAGTGTAGACGAACTACTGTCCTGACGAAACCGCTCGCGCAGCTGGCGACGAGTAGCATGGATCCAAGGGATCAAAACACCGCTGACGTCTGCCTTGCGCCGCAAGGGAAAGACAGTGGTGTAGCGTGTGTAGTCGTCAACAACCAACAGGAAGTAGCGCTCCTGGTCTGTTCCACTGACGGGGGCCGGGCCCCACACGTCCATGTGGAAAGTCTAAAGAGGAGCAGTGGTCGGAGGAAACTTGGAAAAGTGAGGAGCGGCGCGCTGCCGCCCCTCGACGCAGGGAAGGCACGGCGGTGCAGGCGAGCGCGGGAGGGAGGGCAGGGACCCGGGAAGGCCAGAGACA